TTTTTAATTTATCATTTTATGGAGTTGCTTGAAGATTCTTTCTATGTAGATAGTGCACTGATTAATGGTCATGTCAGGTGATTCACTTTTTATCATATCAAATATTATTTATACAAAAGTTTCTTCTTTTATATATACATAAATATATAAAGAATATGAGTGGGGTTGGAAAAATTTTAAAAACCCGAATGAGAACTTTTGATCATTAACTGCGAAAATTTGATTACTTCAATTATCATTAAAATCAAGTGTGTTTAAGGTTTTGCTAATGGCAAATTCTTTAGGATTAATTACCCAAAATTTTGAAGGGGGGTTTTGTAATCTTCACATGTTTTTTTTTTTTCGTCTTTTTGGCCTCCACCTCAAATTTGATTATTTTATTACACCAATCAAATAGAACACTCATCATTCTCAATAGAATCTCTCGAGTGTAGTGTAGGGGAGAGAGACCCATTTGGGCATTAAAAAACTATTTGCTTTTGAATTTGTTGAAAGAAGAAAAAAATGAGAACTTTCACAAGCTGTGACCACCACCGACTGTCTTTTTTGTGGTTTTGGTGGTGAGTTGCAGAGAAAATCTATGGTAAAGGGCATATTTTTGATGCTCTGAACCTCCATTTTCAGCTTTCCTTTGTAGATTCTGAAGATGGATTATGTGGGGCAGTAAGTTTTTATATTCTCCCATTTCAGCAGACACATGTATATTGATTAGATTCTACATGTCTGAAAAGTCATTAGTTTGTAAGAAAACAGTGAAGTTTTGGTACTTTTTTGCTTCCCATTTACCTCATTTTTGTGTTTTAAGACAAGGGTTTTGGTACTACGTTGCCCTAAAGTCTCACATGTTCTTGTCGGCTTCATGGGGAAGTCCAATTTTCTTTTTTTTTTTCTTTTTTTTCCTTTTTTTGTAGGGTATATATTTCGAAAGAAATTAAAAATACAGTCTTGGATGGAGTGAAATTTTATTTTGTTCTTCCCCAAACACACTGTTTTGTAGCTAGCTTTAGATTTATTTATAGAGTTTGTGCACGTGCAATTTCCCTTTTTGTTGCATATTTGGTTGTAAGCTTGAGGTTTTTGATGCATATTTTCATTGGGAAACTTTTCACAAGACATTCTTGGTCTTGGCTATCTCTCCTCCTCTTCAACTTCAATTACCAAGGATGCCATTTGTCTCTAGGAATTTTTTCTAGTGAATTTCTGGCTTCTCTCTCTCTTCATTTTGTGTTGGTCTCTCTCTCCAATTTCCAATCCCATTTTTGGGTATTCTTTTAAGGGAGTGGACAAAGAGTACTCCAACTAAGTAGAGTGTTTGGTATTAAAAAGAGAGAGAATCTCATTAAATATGGGTGACCCAACAATTTTTAGGATTTGATTTGATCGGTTTGGAGTAAGATATTCAAAATTTAAAAAAATTATTGAATACCATTTAGGACAACTTTGCTATATGACATATAAATATAGAATAAAATTTAAAGTGTTTAGGTAAGTTGGTATCTTTCTTATTTACCGCGATTACAAAATTGACCAGAGATGAAGGAAGAAAGAAAGAGAAACAAAATAAAATAAAGTAATGCCGTAGATAAATTTTATCTAATGGGGTTTCTAATGGGGTTGTCATCATTCTTTGGAAGTTGTTATACTGATTTTTGTTATAGGAGATTTTTCTCCCTTGTTTGTTATTTTTTTTTTCCTTCATTAAATCTAGTGTTTTATATTCTTTCATTTTGTCAAATGTATATATCTCACGATTTTCATAAAAATTAATCTTATGTTAGAGCCGATTAACACTCTTAACAAGTTTCAAATGTTGAAGTTCTAATCGACGCACATGTTTAGACAATTAATTTCCAAATTTTCTCTCTTTAAGGTTCTAATTCAACCTTGTTTTTTTTTTGTTTTCGGTGGGTTCTTATGATTGAAGTTTAATTATTTTAATTATTGAATGCAGGATCGAAGACGATGCATCAAAAAAATGAAATTGAACAGAAGGAAAACTTTCTTCGATGCCTAAATTATTATGTGTTGAAGGCTGAAACTTTGACGTTGCTTCCACCTTATTCTCTACATATAATTATTATATACATATCATTACATTGGTAAAAACTATATTAAGTTTGTGTATACAACTGCTATATACAACCATATGCATGCATGCCCTTATTACATTTGTTTTAATTTGGTCTTCTTCTTTTCCCTTTTTGCCCTCTCATTTTTCCAAGGTGTTATAAGATTTTATTATATGTTTCATGAAATCCCAATTGTTGGACCAAATTTCCTAAGTTTTCATGAAATTAATGAAAGATTTAAGTTAGCTATATGATCTTTCATCAGTTGATTTGTAACAACTAGAAGATATATAATGGGTTTTGTTTTAATTTATTACAGGTTCTTATAGACTCTTTTTTATACACACTAGTTTTTAGGTTTTGATAAAAAAGTTGAATATGCTTTTGCTTTTTATTTTAATTACAAAAAAAAGGATGGTTCAAAAATATGAGTTGTATTATCTAATAGAAATTAAAAGGATGGAAAATTAAATATCATACAAGGAGAAGTCTAATAAAACCATCTTTCTTACCGTTATATAAAGCTCACGTTTATATGCCTATCTAATTCCTGTCGATTAGATTTTCTTGATTTAAACGAATTAACGCTACGATTTTCATACCAAAAGTGAATTGTTTATAGACCTTTTTTTTTTTTTTTTTTTACCTAGAGTGAGTTTTGGATGACTTTTGAGAAAATAACTTTTATTTAAAAGTTCTTTCTCCGTAAACATTTTTCGAGAAGCAAAGTGTTTTCCCTAGAAGTATTTAAGTATTTTTTACAGTTTTTTAAACCACTTTTTTGATTATCAGTAAAAAATTATGAAAATTTTGAAAAATACTTTTAATGATCTTTTTTACTCTTTCTTCCATATATTAAGAACCATTAGCCTTGTTAGTATATTGATTATAATATTCTCTCAGATTTTTCACACGTGATTACTAGTGAGACTAATCGAGTATAATTCAATAAATATACAACATTGTGTTAATATGCTGCCAAAATAAAAATGGTTTGGAATATTGAAATTTTTAGCAATTACCCATTTGGGATACATATGAACATGTCCTAACGGTTGCAATTGAGTGACAATTTATAGCCACCATAGTAGCATATTCAATATAATGGGATAGATCAATCATTAAAAAATTAACTAAAAAAAAAGATCAACCTTTATTCTTTCTAAACTTGGACACAAAGACATACACATATATGTGGTCTCACGACCTTTTTCACGAGTGACAGATTTTTTAAGAGCAAATTCCTCACTTTTTACAGATGGGATTTCATTGCACTGAATTTTACCTCATCACAATTAGAAATCCAGTATAAATTCAAATTCAAACTACAGTATTATTGTTATTTACATGTCGAGATCAATTTGTGCATGTTCAATGTCCATATATATAACCACCTGAATAGTTTACATAGAGAAATGTGACTTTTTAGAATTAACTTCTTAGTCTTGAAATAAGTCCTAGGTCATTTGAATTTTTACTGGGACCAGATGCAGGAGAATTCACAATGTTTGTTACTTTGAAAGTGTAGAGACATGCAACCATAAAGAATAACGGGTTTAGGGGTTTGGATCTACACGTGAGATGATGAGTATTAGAATTTTCAACTTTTTGGTCAATGATATCTATCTTAGCCGAATCATGTTCAAATTGATTCAAACATTCCAAACTTGTATGGAGTACTCTCAAATTGATATCAAATAAAGAAAAAAAGAAAAAACCTATCGCCAGAGATGATCTTTGCAACAAAACATTTTTGACCGGAAAACCATTTTGCCGACAAATTCTGAAAGTATGGCGACAAATTTAAGCGTCGAGAAAACTCGAATTTGTTGTAGTGATACTTACGACCGTAACAATACAATATTACCATATACCAAGAAGTCAATGAAAAAAGTAATTATAGAACTAACCAATGACTTATCTAGATTGAGTAAACCGACTATTATTAACAACAAAATGTTGATTTTATTTCCGATAAATTCTGGTTAATTGCAAGGACTAGGAAGGAAAAAAGGAACGAGTGGACAGAAAAAGCTACGAATTACACGTTATTTAAAATTAAAAATTCATTAATCGAATTTCTACATTTCGTTGAAGGTGATGGGGACTCTTTTCACACATATTTGATGGATTTTTATTCAAACAGAAACAAGATTATACTTATTTTGCCTACTTACATCTACAAATGCAACAGGATTTCAAATCTAAAAGCTGAATTTTGAACTAAAAAAATTAGAAATCATGTTTGACAATGAATTCTGAAAGTGAAAATATATGTTAAAAAAAGTAGAATGTATAGAAAAATCGTATCATATGGGTTTGAATACAAGTTCCAACGGTCTCGCCTACTGAGAGATTAAACATAAAGAAATTGAAATGGACGTAATAGTGGAAACTGGAGAAAGAAGGTATTAAAGATTGGACCCAGAACTGAGATTGAGATGGTTGGTTTTGCTTTTCATATCACAGAAACCATTGCAAGATCAAAACCAACAGTTTTTATCATATAACAATGGTTGGAAAAATCGACAAGAGTTCACAATTGGAGCCGAGAACATCAAAGTAGCACCTCTACCATGTTTTCTGTACACAAACAAAAACAAACTATATCAAGAAAGTGAGTACTCGCAATCGAGCAAGCGTGAGAGAATCTCTTCGCAGCTCGGTCGTTCGTTTGGCTCTGCCCAACAATCTGTGAACCAAAAGACAGTGAATTATTGTTAGTTCAGTAAGAGAGCCTGACAAACAAGATTTCCAAGTATTTCAGGATTTCATAAATATGCCAATTGACAATAATGTAAAAAAAAAATGTTTCCCCCTGATCAACCTGATATAAGCCTGCCAAGTGGCCCTTCGGGAATCTCTAGGCGGGATCCTTCGGTGCCAACGGCATAAACTACCTGGATGGCAAGAGGGTACAGTTAATAAATCACTCATTCGAATAAAAAGGAATTACCACAAGATGTATAATATAAGTTAACGGGTATGAAAATGTATCACATGTAGGCAATACAATGGCATACCCGCTCCGGTGGAACACCCTCCCAGGGTCTACTTAGCGTGCAGAGCTCCCACATAATCACTCCCAGGCTGAAAATATCACACTTTTCAGTGAAGGGTTCGTTTCGGAAGAGCTCAGGGGCCATCCATTCTGGAGTTCCTGCAGATGGAGACCCTCTTGCTGGTGCCGATGTCAATATTCTTGAAAGTCCAAAATCACATATCTTGACGGTCCAATGCTTGTTCACTAGGCAATTTGCACTTTTTAGGTCCCGATGAGCTATTTTCATTCGGTGTATGCACATCAAGCCCCTTGACATCCAGCCAAAATCTCCGGTTAGTAAAATGCATGATATTTTTCAGGGGGCATCTATTAGGTACTTGCAAGTAAACCATTAAGTGCATCATCCAAACTCATCTAAGAATCGATTGAACGCTTCATCAAAATCTTGTCTTTCTACCTTGCCCTTCAACTACCATGCCATAATCTAGAACAAGTCAGAAGCGAATTGCAATAAAAAATTCCAAACTTTGTTTTTTTTTTCCTTTTTTGGATAAACCCCTCGTGAAGATAATGGACAAACAAACAATAAATTAGAAAATCATCTCCTAATCATTAAACCTAATTCTCTGTGAATCAACAATCTTAGACTCTTAGTCCCTAATATACCGTTGCTTGTACACTTTACTCAGGTTACCTGGTGGATCTATAGTTTCATTATCTCTCCCAACTCCTGAGCTTTAAAATTACGAGGCAAGTCAGCAAACATGCCTATACTTCATGTCAATTGCAAAAATCTACGCTCCCATGGCAGTTTAAACCTAAATTTTACTAAATAAAATATAAAATAGTGCATGAAGCCAGGAAAACAGATACTTCATTCACTATGGTCGGTAAGAGCGTAGCGACTGAGCATAACACACCTGCATATATCACGCAACATCTTCAGTCTCCTCCGCCAGCTAAGCTTTTTTTTCTGACCACTCAAATGGATCAACGAGTACAAGGAACCCATTTCCATGTATTCAGTGATCATTGATAAGCGTGGCGGCTTTGTGCATGCACCCAGAAATAATATAACTGCAGCAAATATAATCGTTATTAGTCAAGTCAGACTTAGATTTTTAAAACCATAAAAACAAGAATGAAAAGAAATAAATCAAGGACCGATAAATTGCAGCATATAAGGTATGCCATGTAAATCAGTACGTCCAATCTTACACGAAGAGAAATGCAGTAGTGATAATTTACTACTTGAAGGATAAGGAAGTACCATTAGGATGTCGAAGACGACTAGCAAGAAACCCATGCACAAATACAAAAAGAATGGAGTAAGATAATGAAAGTCAATGGGGATAAACAAAAAATTAGTGCGTCAAAGAAAAATACCTAAGAATTGATATCTCATTACAGAAGTCTTCAATATTTTCAGGAGTTAGATCTTGCTCCAGGAAAACCTTGATTGCCACATCTGTTCCATTCCAAATGCCACGAAAAACTTCTCCAAAGAATCCTGTATATTGACATAGCAAAGCTCTCTCAATGAAACATTTGATTAGAAAATTAAAAACTAATCCTCTGAGCCAGAAACTTCCAGAGAATCTAATTGTAGCATTAGATTCAGGTCAGGCAATAATAAGCGGCATCACCACAAAATTGAAATTTCAGACAATGACATGCTTGAAAATGTAATGCTCACCAATTCCAATACGGATTCCAACTGTAAGTTCTGAGTAATCAATGTTCCACTCTGGGTAAGGTAATAGTGGTTTGTCGTTCAAGGTGAAAGATTCGAGAACTTTAGTGCATTTTGAGGCTAATTCATTATTAACATATGCTGAATGTTCACTTCTATCAGAGGTTTGACCCCTATACACATGTGGCGATGACGGTAATGATATTGCTCTTTGCGAACCCACTTGATCCTGAAAAGAAATTAAAGTAAAAGCCTTTTCACTAGCAAATTCCTTTGACCATTTAAGTGGTTTCAGAAACAGTTTCAAAACTCTCGTGCTTCATCATGATCACACAAAATGACGGGACAAAAATTTCACGACAAGAATCAAATTAAACCACCCCTTCGAAGTTTCTCCCTGATGCATAAATCT